TAATATGTATTTATATAAATATACTTATATATGTGCAGAGTATATGTATTCTATCCGTTACCCTAGTATCCCATAACACAAGCCTTATAGTGCTTACTTTGGGGCTAGGCTAATTGGTGAGAGTGTCGGAAATATTTATATTTATTTATTCTGAGGTAGAAAACTAGTATAGTCATTTGATAAGTGGTTACCGTAGCCTGTGCTATAGCCTATAGAGAAAACCGTGGCAAATCCATCCGAATACAATTTTCAAATTTAGAAAAAAAATATCTTTAAAAGTTTGTCCCTATAATAACGAAGACAAAAAATAAGCTATAAATCGTTCTCGCGTCATGGCCAGACATACATATAGGCATCTATTTGAAATTGTATTGTAGCTAACAGTTTTGTGGCCAAGTCAGAGAATGTTCCAGCTAGTCTAAAAAAAATACGAAAACCCAGATTTTGACAGATTTAGAGTAACATATCGTATCGTCAATCTTTTCTGACACCGTGGTCATTACTGAGGAACAAAAAGCTTCTAGATAACGGACTTTCTACCCGATAATTGCGTATCCAGTCAACCATACTTCCTTCAGTGAAAATAAATTACACTATTCCTGACCCATTCTGGTTTGCGCCAATGATATAAATAAATAGTGAATTTATTTATTTATTTGCAAGAAAAGTGGTACAAAAGGTGTTACTTTATTTGTTGAGACACACAATTCACCAGAATCTGGCATACAAATTTTAAAAATATCTAAAAATAAAAGTGCACTATCTATAAGCCGTTCAAACCAAGGGGTAAAAAAAATAGTAGATTACTGTCGTCTTTTACATAAACGACAAGTTTTAGAAAAAGTAAAAATTGGTCAGTGCATTCGCCCGGATTGCGAAGGGTGCGGTTTCGAGGCCCGCCTGCTGCCTGGTCCGCGTGGAATTTTTTCTAGTTATATTTTCTTTAGATTTAAACATCAAGCAGTTACATGCTTTAAAATAATAAAAAATATAAAAGTAAAAATGTTCTCTTTTTAGGGGCGGTGTTTTGCATAATTAAATTTGATAATAGAGGAGTGCAAAAAGATAATAATAATACACATTAAGAGCCACTTGTACGATATTTCTTAATTCAAATTAAGACTTAATTCTAAAAATCAAGTTAGCTCTTTAATTTGATTTTAGAACTTTGATGCAAGTGGGCCTTAATTTAATAGAAACAACATTAATAAACATAAAACACTAAATTGAATGTGACATACACTCAATAATTATGGAAGTCTTTGACAGAAGACCCTCAATAGCACACTCAAGTGTCAATCAGACGGAAAATGTGATTCGATAAGAATTTCATCAAAGTGATTCTTGTACAACAACATATGGTTCTATATTGCATGACACACTTTCACTGACAATTTATATGTTGATGGGTCGACATAAGCTGACGATGCAACGATGTGCTACGTCGAGCAATTTTCAGATTGTATATAGAATTTGAAATTTGACCCTTGGTCCGTAGGGTCCTAGCGCTATAAGGCTTTTTAAAGAAATAGCAAAAAGATTAGTCGACATCACAGGAGACCGAAGAGCTGGCAGCTACCTCGGACAAAGAATTAATCTAGCTATCCAAAGGGGGAACGCTGCCAGTATCTTGGGAATCTTGCCTAAAGGGACTCTTTTTAATAATGTATTTTAGTTATTATATTTTATTTTTTAAGGTTTTTAGTTTTAGGTTCATTGTTATCTTGTTTTAAATGTAATTCTACTTTAAATTTAATGAAATTTGAAATTAACAAAAATACTTCTAAAAACAAAAATAAAAAATTCTAACTAAGATTAAGTGAGAGAAAACATCAGATTTTTGTATTAAAATGTTTGTAAGATTGAGAAAATAACAACTAATTTTTAATAATATTTATTAAGACTGTGTGAGAAAAACATAAATCAGAATCTAGCTCTTCAATTCCGTTCATCTCTGCATTACCGCCGGAGTAATTATGAATAATCATGCACTATTACTAGGTCACATACGAACATGCATCCTTTAGGTAAACGAAATTTTTAAATTGAGTTTCTGAACGCAACTTAAAGTGACATTTGGTTGACGGTTTAGGTTATGAACCATTTATAGCCAAAGCTCAATAAATGAAAAAAAAAATATCAACCAATATTATTTATCAATATTTGTTATTGTTTGTTTACAAATGTGTGGTTTTTATTCTAGAATTAGCAGAGTGCTAAAAAAGGGTTCCAAGTTTTTTTTCGTTTTTCAAGCGACATTTGACAGTTGCATGTCATTGGCTTTCCTATTCTTATTTGAATCGCATTATAAAGTCTACTAGCTTCCGCCTACAACAAATTTTATTTGCAATAAGAACCTGCTATAAAGTATTATTTAAAAAAAACGGCCAAGTGTGACTCGGACTCGGTACAACAAACCGCGAAAGGAAAAATCATTTTTAATTATGTCGAATGAAAATTAGTAGAAAACGAGCGTTCGACGCAAGACGAGTGATTCAAAAATAGAGCTCCTGGTCTCAGGAGGAGGTAGGTAGAAGATCTTGAATGTCTAATTGACGGGGCGACTGACGTGCCGGCCGGCAATTCCACCTATATTAGCGTAGTCCTTTTGATTCTCCACAAAACATTCACATGAGTTGATCACAACCACTAAAATCCACAGACGTAAGCTTCCACGAAGAATTTAATGAATATCTCTTATCTATTAGACAAGTCCGTCCGTCCGTCTGTCTGTGGTGCTGTTTCAGCGGCCAAACCGTAAGGGATAGATAAAGAGAATGTTTAAGTTATAAGTTAAGAATAGTCTGATAAGACTACAAACCGGATTTGAGTAACGTAGCACTTCCGGTTTTCTAGAAATCACGAATTTCAAACGAAACCACACAAAATCTCCGAAGTTCTCAATGAATTAAATACATTTTTTTTTAATCAGGTTTTGGTGAACATTTGGTTCACTGGTTTGCTAGTAAATTCACTATTTGACTAACAACGCAAGGCTCGGGCCGCCGTTAACCGTTCTTTTCATATGCACAAGATCGAAGTGTCTTTTTTGTTTTCCAGTTGCGGCTCCACCGTCGCGCGCACCATTTTTTGTTTTTAATTATAGGAAGGGAAACATATAAGCAAAGTAGTAATAGTTCACAAGGATTGGCTAATGTTTATACAAGACATCGTAGACCAAAATTACATATTCCTAACTAGTTCCGATTTTGAGATTGACCGCGTAACAAAAATGGTCTAACAATTACAACTTTGACGACCACGGTTTGACGGCCACCTATTTCTTTGTTATTGAAAAAAATATGTATTATATTCTACTCAAGGAGCTCTAGACAATGACGTGTCACATGCTGGGATAAAAAAGAAAAATATACATATTTAATTTACTAGCTATAAGAGAAAGAGAGAAAGAAAATGTGGGCGCGCACTGCTTTCTCTTGCTTATATCCCCCACTCAACTCCCGTTCGCTTCGCCCGAACACAGTTTTCGTAACGCGCAACGCATTCGCCAGCTTACCCCCCAAGTCAAGCGTGCGTAAAGAAGTTTCACTTCAAAAATATTTTCGTCTCCTTTACTATATGGGGCACCCCCTTTGAAAAATATTTTTATTGAATTTCAACTAAATATTCGGCTTTGCGCCATACATAAAATGGCAAAATTTCAGTTCTGTTACTCATTCCGTTTGCGATCTAGAGACACGTGACATACGAACAGACATACAGACAGACGACAAAGTGACAGCAATATGGTTCCAATTTTACTCTTTGGGTACGGAACCCTAAAATGATGGATGAATCGGTAAAGACGTTCTCATCTCAAGTGACCAAAGACAACGGGTATTATTTTTTAAAAAAATAAATTGATTATAGCAAAGTACGTGTGTGTGTGTGTGTGTGTAAGTAGTGCAGCCATAGACAAGAAAGCCTGCGCAGTAGCAACTTTACATACAAAAACGTCTACTGCGCAAGTTTATTTATTTGTAGTTTTGCTCAAAAAGTTTACCTATTATATGAGTAAAATAAATTAAAAGTTATACATCAGCATACATATAAATTCCAAGAACAACCTAATCTGGCAAATCTTAGGCCCTGAAATGCTTTTATTATTGGTAAAGCAAAAATACCACTCTTAATTACTATGTTAGTAGTATTAGGTAGGTACTTAAAATATATTACAAACACATATTACATATAGAAAAACCCAAAAACCTCCACCGATCATGACGTCACCCAAACCATTGAACGTCACTTAATTTATAACCTAGGTGTCAAAAGTGTCCTTTGAAGTAAAAATTAAAAAAAAAAAGACTTGAGAATACCGAAATCTTGAGATTTAAGAGTTTAAAACTTCATGCGTGAACTTGACAGAATTGTGCGAAAAGGACAACTGAACCATTACAAAAAAGAAGAGATTAAAGAGATGAGAAGTTGTTTTTAATTAAAAAATACTTTGAAAAATACTGATACATACTTTATATTTTAGAGAGAGTAAGAACGAAAACTTAAGTTCATACGAGGGAATAAATATTTTGGGAAATCTTTCTTCAGCAGCTGAAACCTTTTGACTTTAACTAAATGCGCCAAAATTAGTATTGAATAACTTTTAACAATTATCATATTTCTTGTAATAACATTGAAAGTAAAACTTTCAATATATTCAAGACTGTGTTATAAACAGTGTTCTCTCTCGGTCTTCTTGTACATAAATTAATGAAAATTGGAAGCAACTAGAGATTTAACTTCTCTCGTCGATCAATTTGTTTTTAGAAAAAACCCAGCGAATTACATTATTCCTCCTGCACAATTGACCATATTAGCTTAGCACGCTAAGTAAGTGACCCACGAACTTGGACATAAAGTAGTGTGTTCCACTCAAAAGAACTGCATAACAAACAGCCGGCAAGTTTTAGAACTTCTAAAGCAAATTAAATTACAAGTTAGTAAACCTCCACCGATAAGTGACACCAGCGCCCCCTAAGCAAACCCAGATTGCAACATACTTCCAACATAGTTGTCCATGCTCTCCTTTCTGACGATCACGGACGACATCTTGGTGGCATACACGATGCAGCTGTCGAGGAACGAAGAATGAGGGGCTACCACCAAGATGGGAGCCTCCTTTCTGCTGGCCTGCCGCCCGCGCACCGTTATCGCCATGCCACCCGCCAAGTAAGACATTTTGCCGATGAAACATATTAGCGGTTTCAGGGATCTATAAAAGAAATCTACAATTTTATGGCCCGAATAGATGAACATTTTTTTTTATTTTATGGTGTTTTTTTTCGTTAGATTTAAAAAAGTAATGATGTCGAGTACTTGGCCATTACGCTCAAAAGATTTTGATATATATATAGCGTAATTAAATTTTTATTTATCTCTACATGTTTTCATTTGTATTTACCACAAGATTAAATTTATAATGAACATAAAACGAAACATGAACACTTCTTCTTAATGTAATAAATTGTATAAAAATAGATAAATAGCATAATGATTATTAGTCTTTGACTTAGTCGACGTTGTCGTTTCATAAGTGTTACTTATGTTTGACATAAGTAAAACATGACAATTTTTTATTAACAAATTAAAATTCAAATCAATCAATCATTTAAATTCAATAAAAATTAAAATTTAATTAACAAATTAAAATTCATCATCTCATCATAATTATGGTTTGACTATTGACAACATTTTACATTTGAATTAATTATGATGACGCGAACAATTTTTATTGTTGTACAATAAAAAAAACAATATTTTGCGAAATTATAACCTTTACTTTAAGTTTGTACAAATAATAGGAATAATCAGCCATGAAGGATATAAAATCCTGATATTCGATAGTAAAATTAAAATTATATGTAATAAAGTACTTAGGTATAATAAATTATTCAACTGGAACTTTATTATCACATTCTAAGTACATTTCGTGAAAAAGGTCTCTGATCAAATTTGAAAAAAAATATATGAATGAGATCTGTTACAATATCTATTAATGGATGAAAGTGTGAATAGCAGTGCTATGTACTAAAATTTTCAGAATAGCACAGCTGTTTATTGTAACTCGAGATGAAATGGAATAATTTCGGTAAAACGTTTAAAGCATAGATAAATGATATTATGTAAGGATTTTGTAATTGGTATTGTTAGTGTGGATCGACAACAGCATAAATATTTTCCCTATTACTGGGGTAGCAGTTGAGCAGCTGGCTACACTTTTTTTGACATACAACACCGTCCTTGCAAAGTGACATACACCCGTGCATACACACACTACAATAATGAGTTGCCGCATAACCGGAGCTGTTGTTTTTTGATAGCGCGGTATCTAGTGGAGTGAAGCGAGACCAATCATTCATCTATTGTTAAACAATACATTTTAAAGGTAGGTGTACTATGACACTCTCAAACCTACACTGGACCATGTCATTAGAAACCACTACTACTAAATCCAACATCAAATATAGTATTGCACCAATTATAGTTATGAACTGAACAAGTGAACACTAAAAAAATGTTTAAATCTATAGAAAAGTTTTCTAGAAAAAAATCCACGCGGACCAGGCAGCGGACGGGACTCGAACCCGCATCCTTCGCAATCCGGGCGAATGCACTGACCATTATGCTACCACGGCTGCGCTGCAAGGCAGCGCCATCTCTTCGCATTGTAGGCAACCCACAATGTCAAATGAATACTTTTTCAAGTAATAAACATTTGAAAGAAGAAATAGCAATTATAGTTATGATTTTATTTATTTTTAAGCATTTAACTGCTAGATGTTTAAATCTAAAGAAAAGTTTACGAGAAAAAAATTTTTTTTTTTTTAATCATAACTATAAAAATGATTAGGAATTACTTAAGAGCCCTTTTACACAATTGCGCCGCTGCCGTACTGATCGGCGATCATACAGATTTTCACTAGTATATTTTTCATTTTACGGGTGACGTTTCGAGTCTTATAAAATAATTATTAATGAACTAATCAGAAAAATATAGGTAGGTATACATATTTCAGTAGTTCAATGATGGTCTTCATTTTTTGCAAAAAAAATGAAATTTTTGATTTTGATAGATAATTATTTTATAAGATTTGAAACATCACCCCTAAAATACAATATTACTAGTGCAAATCTACCTACGCGCCGATCAGTACGGCAGCGGCGCAATTTTGTAAAAGGGCTCTTAAGAAAAATATACCTAAAGATGTAATATATATCTTATAATATATAAGATATATATTCTATCTTTAGGTTCTGTTTTAACATTTTCATAGGGATTTTCTTTGCGGATACAGCTTATTCTTGTGTATTCACTGCGGTTACAATGGTTCTATTCACAGCAAAGTTTACGGCCGGTCGACTTTCATATTTGTGCCGTAAAATCGCCAACAATACCGTTACGCCCTTGAATAAGATTTAAATGAATTACAACCCAGATGGTTCTTCTCAAGCTAAAATATAATGTCGGTGAATAAATACTATTGGAAAATAAATATTTGATAGACAATATTTTAAATATTATAGGGTTTTTCAACAAGAACTTTGTTTTCTAAAACAAGATAACACAAAAAAATTAGATGAAGATGATTAATTTTTTTATTGAATTACGTCGCAGAATTGACAAATTTGGATCTGCCTCAACACTGTGGCTCACGGCTGCGATGCTTACAGTTGAACGACTCGGTCGAACACGCGTTGGTGTTGGCACATTTTGTATCGAGCCTGTCGACTCAAATTTAACGACCAAATTCTTAATAGCGGTCTCAGAAGGACGATTATGTTGTCCGAAAATATCACGAATTTGACAAAATGTAACTGTAACAGAACCACTATTTTCATAGTGGATTTTAATTATTTTAATTCGATTTTCAAGCGAAATTGAATTCATTGTAACAATTGCCAATGCATCTTCTACGAATACGTCAAAAAACTAAATGTGAAAACCATCTTAATGTAGGTGTAGCCACAATTCAAAAACAAAGTTCTTGTTGAACAACCCTATATAAGAGCCTACTTTAGTATGTTCCCATTTGTCCCCATTTGTAAGCGTGTAGATCTCATTAAACTTTAAAGATAGATGATTAAAATTATCACGGACTATGTAAATTTAGGAAATTTAAAAAACTTGCCGCCGTAAAAACAAAGGGGCGAGCCTTAGAGTAGTTGCATAAGATGTGTAACATTTATGGCAAGTCTTAGCAAGTAGTTTTTAGCAAGTCTGGGAAACAATTGAACATCGACAGAATAAACAATCGCGTGCGCTCATTTTTAAAAATAAATAGGGCGGTCTAACTCGCCTGTCTACTTGTCTCTCTCACAGATTGCAGGAAATTGAGAAAAAATACGTATTTTGTCTTGTTATGAATATTCAAATTATTCTCATCACACAATGGGTAAAAATATGAAATGAAATTACATTCAAAGAGAAATATAAATATAATATGCAAAGAATATAAAAGGTATTGTGTAAAAATAATCGATTTATTTCTGGTGTTTTTGTTGCAACCAACCACTTTGGCAAATTCTTGGCAATCTCAAAAATTCACTTCCCGTCTTAAAAAGAATCCCCCGTTTTGCACGGCCTTCAGTCGCGGTTCCTTTATCACAATGCATCGAGCATTTATTAAGAGTAAACACATCTGAGAGCTGGGCAGAACTTCTAACATTTTTCTTTAGAATTTTACACATTAACCAAAATAGCACTTCTACTTCTCTAACGCAAAAAATAAAGGAGAACTGCCGCCTAAATCCTTCCTTTTATTCACTTGTCACTCCTCCCTCTCGGCCTCCAAATTCTAATTATTCCACCAAATTAATAGAGTCAAAAATTAGCGATGGTGATCTCCGAGGAGCCGCCAACCTTTTGTTTAGTAATGATGTTGTCGCCGTCAACTGCCAGGAGACCCTTAGTGCTCTTGAAGATAAGCACCCACCTCCAGCACAAAATCTTCATCTACCTTCGTCACCTGATTCAACTCGAAATGCTCATTTAATAAGCAAAGAAGCTGACATCTCAGCTGCAATATTCTCATTCAAAAGCGGCTCTGCCTCTGGTCTAGATGGGCTTTCACCTCAACATTTTAAAGTCATTTCCGTCTCAGTCGATGACGCTGGCAAAGCCCTATTACTAGGGCTGCCATCTCTAAAATGTGGCAACCAGGATCAGAAGCGTGATAACCTCGGATTTTGGAGCCCAGAACCCGGACAGACCAATAGAAAAACAGTCAAAAATGTCACAAATCAACTATTTTTTGTTGATGTAGGCAAAAGAGGTAGCGGTCTACCTGATAATAAGTGGTCACTGCTGCCCATGGACACTTGCAGCACCAAGGAAAGCTGATCTTTGTTGGAAGTCTGCATTTATGGTTACAGTGTTAGAATAGATTTATTCATTTTCAAAGACATTTAAATTGACGGATTAATTGGCGACCCAAAACAGGAAATTTTTAGGATATACTGTACTTCCAGGGCCCAAAAGTAAAAACTTCACAGTTTTGTTGGTTGTAATTTCTCATTTTTGTTTTTAAAAAGGTTTCTGTTAACCACATTATTAAAAAAATGTCACACTTATGCACTGGTAGTTTTTTAGAAAAAAATATTGAAAATTTTTACTTTTCTTTTCAAGTGGTGATACTTCACACTAGGTTAGGTTATGTTAGTGTTGTGTCCATAACGCGCGAGCCGAGCGAGCAAAGCGAGCGTGCCGCGGCAGCGGCCGGCGAAGCGCCAGAAAAAAAAATCTGTTAAAAAGACCTTTTCTACAAAAAAAAAACAAGTATCACCTTTTGGGCCCTGGAAGTACAGTTTTACCACAGTTTTTACTTTTGGCCGACTTTTAATTTATTGAATTGTTTTTGTCAATAATAAACAATTTGATTCATTAGTGCCTACAGCAAAAACACCTTTGAACGAATAGTACATTGCATAATGATAATATAAATAATAATTAGAAAAAATTTAGGTTGTGTAAATGCATGTTGCATGTACAATTAAATGCAGTGCAGTAAGTACCTATAGATGATGCAATTTATAGATTTATTATTTGGAACTTCGCCGGATAGCATTAAATTAACCAAAAGAGTGATATTATGTAATAGGTAGGGCTGCCATCCGTCCGGGTTTTCCCGGATTTGTCCTAGTGTAAGGGGCGTCCGGGGAGCGTCCGGGCGGGGTTTCATTTGTCGTCCGGGTTTAAAAATTGGTAAAACTGTA